AAAAAAAAAGAGCAGTATCATTTCAAAAGGAGAAAATCATACCTCACTAACCTACTAGATCTAAAGGGGAAAAGAAGTACATGAAGAATGGGAAGCACATATACATTGTTTATTCACTCGCATATGGGACGGGGGAGACAGGGCAGGGCTTTCTGCCAGCTCTCTGAATGTTCACTCGTGCCCCCCCCCCCAAATTCATATATTGAAATCCTATCACCCAAGGTGATGGTATTAGTATGTAGAGCCACTGGGAAGTGATTAGGTCATGAGGGTTAAGCCCTGGCGATTGGGATTAGTGACCTTATAAAAGAAATCTGAGAGAGCTGCTTGCCCTGTTCACCAAGTACAGACACAGCTAGAAGGCGCCATCTATGAATCACAGGAGCAGGCCCTCATTAGCCACCAAATCTACTGGCACCTTGATCTTGAACTTCCCACCTTCCAGAACTAAGGAAATAAATTTCTGTTGTTTATAAGCCACCCAGTTTATGGCATTTTGTTATAGCAGCCAGAATGAACTGAGATACTGCCATGTGATAGGAAAAATAATTCTATTTTGAAATTATTTATTTTGTATTAAAAGATAGAACATAATCTCCCTTTGGCAGATTTAATAACTAAATGTTTAAATAGAAAAGTATTTATTCTAGGGTCTTCCAGTGTCTGATTCTGTGTGCTAACGTTGAGAAAATACAAAATGAAATGTTAAATCCTAGATAGTGTACCACTGAGCTAATAAAAATAGGGAAGCAATGATAAAACAACAAAGTGGCAGATCAGCAAATACACAAATATAGGATAATAAGATTCTAAGCTATATTTAAAATGATGAACTGGACATTTCAATATGAATAAGGAGGTGAATAAGCATGAGGTAAACCAGCGTAGTTAGGTAGAGCCCACTCAAGGTATCTAGTTTGTAGATTTATCTTGTTTAGCACTGCTGTTATGGCAATAACTTGTTACAATCCTGTAACTGGAGAAATATTTCTATATTAACATATGTATGTATGTATGTGTGTGTATATATATATATGCACATAGTTTTATATATGAAACAGTACTTTATAATAATTAACATTACAATATATATTAACATTATCATATTAAATAATACTGCCACTATAGTCAGCCAGTAAAGGACAGTGAATACTATCAGATGCTTTTAGGCAATTAGAACTTGTGCACGATGTCCTACTTCCTAAATCTGAATGGTACTTACCAATCTGTTTGTTTTACTAATGCCATTATGTGATCAGTAATCACATTATGTGATCACTCTGAGGTGATCTGAACTCACAAAGTAGGTAAAAGTGATTCAAATAATGTTGGAAATGCTACTCAAGTGTCAAGAAAGAATATCAACATAGATCAATGATTTTCAATCTTGCCTTAACACTAAAATCTCTTGGGGATCCCCCAAAATCCCCAATCTCCATGCCCAATCTCCACCCCCAAACCAATTAAATCGGCATCTGGGAGGTGGGACTCTGATATTTTTAAAATAACCACA